CAGTCTACGTTGTTTCACTACCACATACACCAGGCATGCCTGAGAACTGAATGAAAAATGGACTCTCAGGGATCAACTCCCAAACCCAGAGCCAGTGGGGAGCGAACATACACACACACTGCAAACTCAGGGCACCCAGGGAAGAGGCACTGGGAGAAGAGCTGGTGAAGGAAGACGACTGCAGCAGCCAGGGAGAGCCTGAGCCACCCCTTTGCAAGTGCAAACCCTGGGCTTTGCCCATCCTGAGGGATGGGAGGAGCAGCATGTCCCGCAGCTGCTCACACACTCCCACCCGACAGGAACTGCACAAGGGACTGGGGCACGTGTGTCTGAGCCTTCACTTGCTCTTTCATGGACATTCACCAAACCCCGTGGTACTGCCCAGAGGTCAGCAGTGGCTGGCAATGTCCCACGGGGCCTTCTCTGAGACACAGCCTATGAACTCACACGCCTGAGGAACGCTTTCTGCCCTGCTCTTGACAGAGCGTGGCTTTTGTTTGGTTTCTGGCTGCATGTCTGAGTTAAAAATACAAGGCTATTTCTGGCAGAAGTGGGTTTTTTTCTGCCTTTGCATAGCCTTGGATGCCCCCATGCTGCTGCCTCCTTTCTGGCTCAGATGAGCTTTGTTTTCCTTCTCAATGATCATGTTTGCACCGGTGAGCCATAGGAAATTCTTTTCCTATTAGACCATTTCCACGAGCACTGTTGGGAACAAAGAATGAGCTCAGAGAAATCTAAAAAAAACCCAGTGAGTGTAAAGATCCTGTCTCCAGTGGTCAGAGAACTGAAAATCCAGAATGTCTGTGGTCAAAAAGGGATGTGTACATACGCAGACGCACACAGGTACAGCAGAATACGTTCTCCCCGTGATCCTCAGGTCAGGAACAAAGAACTCAGTGCTAGAAACACCTTCAAGCATCCCCACTCTACAGACAGGCTTCATCCCAAGCTCTGCAGCTCAGACCCCTTCTTACCCAGCATGAAAACAGTTTGTTTTGCTTTTCTTAAATGCCAAGAAAAAAATAGGCCTATCTTTCCTGGGTTGGATTTATTCCATCTGGAATCATTGCACGCTCACAGGACTGTGATAGCGTGTTACAGTCTCAGTATAAAGCAAGAGCCCAAATACTTTCAAGCACCCATGCGATCGTTAAATCTTTGCTGTTACGCTCCGTATCTCCTGGCAACAACAAGCCTAGGACATGGGGCTTCTCAGTCGAGATCCCTGAGTTCAAATATCTCCAAGCCCCGTCCCACGATGCAGAGACATGCCTTCGTTCGTGGGTGTGATCCCTGCCAAGACTGAGAACAAAACCAGCACAGCTGCAGGAACCTCCCCAGTACACTGTATTTGCCACGTGTCACAACATAAACATCGATACAACCGGAAGATAACGGTTTAACAAACAGCCCAATTGTTCAGGCTAAAGACATCAAAAAGGCACGGGGAGAGCTTTCCAGGACACGGATCCCCACCAGCTTCTGAGGAGCCACGCACAGACTGAGTCAGAGCTCCTCGACACCCAACACAGGACTTGCTGCGTGCCAGTAACCCATAAATCGCTGACATCAGGGCCTGCTCCTCTTGCCAGCTTCTGCTCTTTAGGAAGCGTGCTCCACCTAACTTGCTTCCAAAGAGAAGCTCCCAGACAATGATTTTCTATCATCTCTGCCTAATGACTGATGAATTCAGAGGCCACTCTGCACATTGCCACTCTGGAGACCATCAACGACATCAGGAGATGAGGGGAACAATACCTCAGGTCTCAATTTTGGCAAAGGCAAACTTATCAAAAACCTAAAAAGGTTTCTTGAAAGCAGCAAGCCCACTCCTCATAAATCCCAGGAGGCTGATCAAGTCAGGCTTCACACAGCAAGTGCTCCAAATTGCTCAAGGAACTCAAGGCATTGCATCCTGACAGTCCCAAAATCAGGAAAGTTCAACACTCATCCCTCAAGAGAAGGTTACCAATACCACCACCAAATACCAAATTCTCATAAACCAGCTCGTGCTGGAGGTTGGTTCTGTTGTTCTATTTAACAGACGGTGAACATGAGGCTCAAAAAGGCAAAAGTATTTACCTACAGTTGCCCAAACGGTCAGCAGAGCTATATGCAGGCCCTGGTTTCGAGCCAACAGGCCACGCTGCCACCCCCACACCAAGTTAGAAACAAGGTAAGAGCCAACACGTTATAAGAAACTCCCAGATCAGTACTGGAAGGAAAAAACAACTTCCTACCGACTGTGACACCTGGACTCGGACTTCACTGGTATCCAGTGGTGATGTACTTGAGCCCTGGGACCTTCTCTCTGAGCCAGACTGGTGCTCCCGGTATTTCTTTGACCTTGCAGATAATGACAAGAACTCTTTTCCAGAGATCTTCAGGTCTCCCACATGATGGCTGTCCCCATTCTGCTCCTTGGGAAAGCAAGAAATAGTCATTGCACAAATTGCTTGTCCGAGGTTTACATGGAGATCTGCTGGCAAGTATCCGCAGAACAGGAGATGCACAGAAGATGTTAATGTGGAGTTTAGATGGGGTGAGCTGCCACTTACGTGTGAGGGGTTGAATGGGGACATTCTGCCTATCTCCACAACCAACCATTTGAATGGCTGGAGAGGAAGCATCACCCAAACAACACACGACAGCCAACTTCTCCACAGGGAGAAGTAGCATCCTCTTAAAAAAAAATCCAGGTATGTAAGTAGAGGCATGGCTGTTTTATTTACAGGCATAAGGAATGATGGACGAAAGGTCCGGAAGCAGTCGGTGCTGCTAGTGATTTCTGGCAACTGCACTCCTAACACCTCTTCCAGAGTGGCAAGCTCATCCTGCCCAGGATACCAAACCCTTGGCACAAGTCCCTCCACTTGCTGTATCTTCACTTCTTCCCAGCACCCAACCATGCTGCAGCCCACACTGAACCATGGATAACCCCACCATGCCCCGCAGAACATGACTACACCATATGCTCCCACCTCTAGGATTTGGCTCCCGGCACACACGTAGCATTGCCTGCCTTGGTGTCTCCCACTGGCTTCATCCAGCAAAGCCCTTACCCAACAGTCTCCTAAAAGGCAGATTAACATGGAGCCCCGTCCTGCTCTTTTGCCAACCCTCACACTACCAGGAGCACGTGGGGACGGCAGGGTAACACTGCAGCAGATGGCCATGAGCAGCCCCCTGCTCTCTCGCTGCTGTCCTTCGCTCTCTCAAATGCCTTGCTCAGTGCCCCCGTAGCCATATGAAATACAGGATTGTCACCCTCATGTATTGCAGTGGGAAAGGGAGGTGACAGAGATCACACATCTCCTGAGAGTTGTAGTTTTTGTTCCTTCTCACTGCAGCTCCCCACTTTGCTTTTCCAGGCCCTGCTCCATGCCTGGCTCCTCCACTTTCACCCCTTTCCCATGAGACACACACAACTATCTCTTCTGTGCCAAGACACTCGGGTCCGTGGCCCAGCCTGTGTTACCACCACAGCCTCGTTGCTGCTGTCATGCAGAAGAGCCCCTCGGACAGAAGCATCGGCAGGAGCATCCAGTGTTTAGCTCCAAAGACACTTGGTAATGGCACCAGGCACTTTACACAGAACTGGTGGGAACCCAGCACAAGCAAGACCTGCTCGATGCTTTGGGCTTCGGTGTTTTGGGGCTGCAAACCACCTTTTCATCACACAGAAAGCACTGAGGGGACTCTCCCCAGGGTGTCCTCGTTGCAGCAACTACATGCAGGTGAAAGAAGCTCGAGCACAGCTCAGGAGATGACCCACGAGGTTGGGATTTTAGGGCACACACCAGAAAGCCAAGGACACGGAACAGCATCTGCATTCACAGCACCCCAATAGCACGGAACATGATGTAGCCAAAATGGCTTTCCCATTGAAATACAAACAGAAATAGCGAGAAGTGAGGAGAGATTAATTTCCCTCAATGCTATTGATGGGACCGACTGCAGCCAGGCTGGCGCCCACATTTTGAAAAGCTAGGACTGGAAAGAAACTGCCTTCCAATGCCTTACTGCTGTAGTTGGAGGCCTCAAACTGTTTAGCTCATGACAAAAAGAATAGATGACTCAATTACAGCATGTAAGCACCTTCAGGGTAAAAACCAGCATGTGATAAAGAGATTTTTAGCCCGGTAGAGAGAGGAAAATAAACAAGAACCAATGGCTGGGAGCTAAAAGCAGAGAAGCTCAAAACAAGGCAAGAGGCACAGGTTGGAGAGAGCAGGATGACAGGGAGCGGCATTCCGCTGGCTGCTGGGGCATTCGGAGCCCACGTGAGTGTCCTGGCAGACACACTCTGCCCAGGCACACGACTCCGTGCAGAGGCATTGGACAAGAGCTCCTGGCCTGCGTGGTAACAGGGGTCCCTGCTGACTTTGAAGGCTATCTCTGGCAGAGACGGAGGGCGGAGAGGGTGACACAGTAACAAGAGGGTGTTGAAGAGATCACGGTTCACTCCACTGGTTTATTCTTTACAATCTTATCACCCTCACCCTAGCAAGCATGAAGCAAACAACCCTCTGCCATGACTGTAATCACGACTCCCTAGGAGCTGCAGCAGGGGAGAGGAAGGGGAATCACATCCAAAATACTCTCACAAGGGGAGGTGACTTGCACACACCCTCCCAGGACCACTGCAGGGGAACTCAAGTCTGACTCCATGGCTATGGACTACGCAGGGCTCCTGTTTACTCCAGCCTCCCCATGAAATCCCTGAAATCCCATAACCCTGCCTGAACTACTGAACGAGGCTCAGCTTTTACAGCAAAGTGTAGGAAACCAGCAGCATTAACAGCAAATCACACACCAGGATCCTCTCCCTGCCAGCATCCTCTGGGCCATGCTGCTCCCGTGAGGATACACAACCAAACGTCTCCCTGACACTGGGCACTGCTATCCCTGCTACCAACACCCCAGAGGTGGAGTTGTGCCGCTTAAAGCAGGTGGGGGCCAAAACATCCAGTGGGCAGTGGGGAGAATTTATAAAAATCACAGAATCTTTTAGGTTAATGGGCATATGGGTATAAATTGAAATCAGGGAGGTTTAGATTAGATATCAGGAAGAAATTCTTCACAGAGAGGGTGGTGAGGCACTGGGACAGGTTGCCCAGAGAAGCTGTGGATGCCCCATCCCTGGCTGTCTTCAAGGCCAGGCTGGATGTGGCTTTGAGCAACCTGGTCTGGTGGAAGGTGTCCCTGCCCATGGCAGGGGGGTTGGAACTAGATGATCTTTAAGGTCCCTTCCAACCCAAACCATTCTGTGATTCTATGATTCTAGGTTGGAAAACACCTTTAAGATCACCAAGTCCAATCATTAACCCAGCACGGCCAAGCCCACACTAAACCTGTCCCTGAACACCTCGTCCCTGTGTCTTTTATATCCCCCCAGGGATGATGACTCCACCAACCTCCCTGCACAGCCCATTCCAATCCTGACAGCCCTTTCTGGGAAGATATTTTCCCTCATATCCAATCTAAACCTGCGGAACGTGAGCCCATGTCGTCTTGTCCCAACACTGGTCACTTGGGAGAAGAGACCAACCACCCCCTCTCTGCACCCTCCTTTCAGGGAGTTGTAGAGTGATAAGGACTCCCCTGAGCCCCCTCTTCTCCAGGCTTCTGTAAAAGGGGAGATCCTCCCTGGGACACTGGGGCGAGCTGTGCCTGGAAAGCACCAGAGAAACATGTATTATTTGTGCCAAAGACATTCCAAAAAGGCAGAGCAAGGCTGCCTGCCTGGCTACCTCCTCTGGGACATGACTGAGCCCCAGGGCAGCACCGGCGCCCGTCACCGGGCAGACCCAGCCATCCTGCGCAGGATTTTCTGAGGAACTGAGATGATCCCTGTAGGTGGAAAGGCTCAGTGCCTCCGAGCTGACTGCAGGAACAGCCTTTGCCCTGGGGAGACCGAGAAAACGCTGATCTGCTTAGATGTGACATTTCCAGCAGCAAACCGGAGCAGAGGCAATCCTCAGAGCCCCTGGGAACAAACCCCTCTGCCTCCTGCCACGCACCATCTCCTGCCTCTGACCTCTCCTTCCCTGCCTGTGCTGAATGCAGCGCTCGCTGGGCTAATAAAACACTACGATTTGCCACCAGCCACTGAAGGGGCTAAAACGCTCACGATTATCCTCTCAATAAAGGGCTGTTTTTTTCAAAAAAGCATAGAAGTGGCTTTTTCAGCTTTCAGTTGTTAAGTGCCTTTTTAGTTCACCAGCTGTTCCTCTCTTCCAAGCTCTCTAGAAACCCTCTTCGGTTAATCCCATTGACTCCAGTGATATCTGCTAATTGCACACTTCCCTGCAAATGAAGCCAGTCAACAAGCCATTACAGATTCCTACTGATATTTAATCTTTGAGGCCAGACATCTTTGCTTACCTTTTCAGAAGGGAACTTCAGGAGGTCTAAGCTGTCCATGCTGTTCCTTTGGAGTCTCTTTGGCCTGGCTCCTGCAAAACAACGCACTCTCGCATCAGGAGGGTGTCCCTCACCGACAGCACTAATGTCACACAGATCAAATTCAAACCAGGGCAGAACCTCTGCTCCTGGTAACTACAGAGTCGAAAGGATGGGATGCTGCAGCTGTGCTGCCCTTGAGATTTGAACGTGGGGTTTATTCCCCTCTTGGGTTTGGATCTTTTTCAAAACACTATCACAGCACAGTCAGCAACAGCCAGGGCCGCAGGAAACTTTTGCTGTCGAACCAGTGGCTGGGTCACACTATGACCCTGATCTCAACTGAGGTCTCTGGAATTCAGGAGTTAGAAACCCCACTCTAAACAACCCAACTCAGGGAACTGACATTGAGAAAAATCATAACAAAAATACAGTTTAATAAACACGTGGATTTGTCACTTTATCTTCATGTTTTTAACTTAAAGAATGTACTGGGGACACAGCTTTGAGCTCTTCTCTACAGTCACGAGAGCTGGAAAACTAAGTGGAAGAGCAAATATTTTCTACCAGAGGCCCAGCCTTAAGGGGAGAAAAACCTTGCCCTGAAGCTGACAGAGAAGTCAGAAAATTTGGCAGCATTCATTAGATTTATTTGAGATTTCCCAAAATTCATTGTAATGTAGTCTTCTAGCAATAACAGACTCACACAAGCCAGCTCTGACTCCCGCTTTCCAAGTTCTCCTTACCTCCATGTCTCCCTCCAACCCGCTTCCAGCTTCTGTTGCCTTGCTGACTAACAGAGCTGGGATTTACAAAGTGGCCCTGGGATGCTTTTGCCCCATGTGGGAAAACTGCCCTTCCACCCTTCTGCTCCCCTTCCCTGCTCTTCCCTGCGCCCTTCCACCCTTCTGGCTCCCCTTCCCTCCTCCTGCTCCCCTTCCCTGCTCTTCCCTGAAGGTTCACTTCAGCCGAGCACCACATGACAGCCCACACCAGCAACACCAAACAGGGCAGAAAGGACAGCTTTGGACACGAGGTCCCATGACACCCTCCAAGCTTCAGGGGAAATCCTGGCAGAGGGTGAATGAACGCATGTGAATTGAAACCCAGCCCCACGCCGAGCCCTGAGAACGGAAACCACTGAGCTCTGTGTGGTTCCTGCAACAGCAAACTCACCAAACCTGAAGATTCCCGTTTCCCACCACCACCTAACAGCACCGCGGCTTCTGTTACAGCAGCACCCACGACCCCGTACCCAGGCTGCCAGCGAGCTACTCACTGCACAAACTTAACGAGAGAGAAGGCACAAAGTCCATAAAGCAATTCAGGACTGACTGTAAGGAGAGCACGGTGAAAATGGAAGCAGGCACAGGTAAGCCAGGGCTCCTGCACCAACACACATCCAGCTCAGTCAGGGCTCCAGACGCGACCACAGCTGTATCTGAACCGCAGCAACTCCAGGGACGCTGCTGCTCTGAAAGGTTCCACCTGGAGAGCTTCATGAGGTACAAAGAGAAGCTCAGAACACCTGGGACTTCACTAAGGGTCACGCACGTACACCTTGGTGATAAATGACCTCAGGTTAATCTCACTGCCCTTTGCTGCTTCTTCACTAAAGTGATTCACCTCTTGCAGCCATAAAGACTCAAATCTGCAAAGTATTTCTGCACGTTGCTGTCACTCTGCTCCAAAAAGCACGTTGGCATCAACTTCATTTTAAGGTGACTTGGTTACCAGGCTCTGAGGTCAGAAGGGACCGACATCAGCGCTGGCGAACAGGCGCAGGACAAGGACTGTTGTGAATACACAGCAAGGCCAGAGGGCAAGGAAAGCATAACGACGCGTTTGCCATTCCTACCCAGCTCTACCCGCTTCCACTCTGCAAAGCCAGTTCCTCACTTGGCAGCAGCTCAGTAACAACAGGATTTGATCCCGGAAGGTCAGCGATTGCTGCTGATGCTGGCGAGGGTTCAGACGCGGGACAGCCTCCCTTTGGAGCAGGCAGGAAAAAAGGACTTTGCTGCTCTCAACAAAGCAGGCAGAACTCTGGATTTTACCATTTCTATTTCAGTCCTTGTTTACATTTACTTATCTCAGGTATCTTACGTGTCTTAAGCACCTCCTTTC